ATGTTCAGAAAATAGTTTGAGAGACCAAATTTGTTATAATAATGTAAATTAATTGGAGGGACTAAATATCTTATAAAATGAAAAGTAGTGTAACACCCCATTTCATATTTGCATAAAACACATATATTTTATATAACAGGAAATACAAATATTATACACTGGTCCCAAATATATACATTGCTACATAGAAAAGTAGCTACAAACTTTTTGTTTGTCAGATACATAACTTGAATAACACAAATTCACAGTTCATGTATAAACTCAGCTTCCAAAAATTTCATAGATGTAAAGTATCACACTTTAATTTATATATTCCCCTTCTTTTTGCCTTCCATATGTGCCCGACATGTAATGTACATTTTTTTAAAACAAAAGAGGGTTAGACCATAAGGTCTAGTGAGAATCCCTTAATAGCTATTATAGGGTGAAAATCATCAAAACACTTTTTGGAAAGACAATCTTTGAAAAGATAACATGTAAATAACATTTATTGTATCAAACCTCATTTTGTCGCATCATATAGATGAGACAATCAACTCATCGCATCCCAAGGATGGATTACTCATCTCATCGCATCAAACAACATTTTTGTCGAAACCACAAGGATGCGATCACCCATCTTGTCGCATCATACATGTGCGATAAACACAACTCATCGCACCTAGCAGATGCGATAAACCTCATTTTTCGCACCACACTGATGCGATAAACACAACTCCTCGCACCAAGCAAGTGCGATAAACCTATTACTCGCATCACATTGATGCGATAACTTAATTTGTCGCATCCCAGTAATGTGATATAATCAATCTCCTCGCACCACACAGATGCGATAACAATATCTCATATGATCAAAGTATCATTTTTCACAGATTCGTTGAGTATGCCACTCTGATTCTAATATATGTCTCGTCTGATCATGCTACCATTATTTTAAAATATACACCCCTCCTGATTCTGTTACTCTTATTTCAAAATATACGTTTCTCTTAATTATGTCACATTTATTTCAAAATATACATATCTCTTGGTTATGCCACATTTATTCCAGTAAGTTGATAACAACATATCAAAACTCAAATATGCTAACACATAGCAAATAATTACGTCCGAAGACACCCCAATTCGAAACCCATACGGTTCCAAATTGAAAATATTTCAAATAATTTTTTTAAAAACAAAACTCACATTGAATTCACAATTAGATGAAGACTTTAAGCAATAATCAAATAAGAAGCACGTAATCAATTTCTTCTTCTTCTTCTGCTAGCTCAAACCAAAGAGCAAAATAACTCTACCAACTTTCTTTTTCCTATTCTTATCCCAATTAAAAGTAAAGAAGAAAAAAGTATAATCATATAATATATACTAGAATAGTACTCGCGCAATGCAGCGAGACACATCTCGATTTAAATGTTCTATTTTATTATTTGTTTCTGTTGATGTTATAATACGATTTTATGTGTTTTTAAGAAAGCAATAATGATTTTATTTTTGAATAAAATATAAATTTGATGATATCATAAAAATTTTAAAAAATATATATATCAATGTTAATATCAAATCAATTATTTAAACAATTTCATTTTTTATATAATTTCTTTAATTTATTTTTTTATTATAATTTAATTTAAGTTTAGTAATGAAATAATTTATTTTTGGTTTAATAATATAACATTTTACAAAGATAATAATTACGTGTTTTGTTTGAACTTAATGATTATCCTAATTATATTTTAGATTTTTTATATTTAAAATAAGATGTTTATCTTGTATTTGATTATGTTTATCTGCAGTTAGTTACACAAATTCAGATATGGAGCTTTAATAAGTTATACTTACACACAATCTACTTGTAATCTTGAGTTTTAAGTAATATGTATTAATAAACAATACTTTACGCATAAAAAATATTTTTTAAGAGTTTTTGTCAAATATTTTATAATATAGTATAGATATATATTTGGATAAGAGGCTATGGAGAGTTTAAAATTTTTAAATCAATTTTTCAAAACACACCCTCAACTTTCAAACCATATTAAAGATAACCCTAAATTTTCCACCAATAAAAATAAGACCCGGTTATAACCAAGTAGTTCGAGGAACCACGTTCATTCTTGAAAATTGAAGTTGAGGAAGACGAGCGTAAATTCAAAAAATTGTCCCTCACTAATGAAAACTTAACTGAAGGAGTTAAAGAAGGGACCATATATGTTATAGAAATGAAACTCTAAGGACGTCCCTTGTCAATAATTCTTTTAAGAAACCTTACTCGTTAATTTTATGTAAACCACAGGGACCAAATTTGTATTTAATTTTAATCCAATAATATTCATCTTCATTTATAATCTAATAATTTTTCCTCTTCTACATCAATTAGTAACATGCATCTTCACTTATAATGAGGAGTATTTTTATTATTCATCATATTAAAATATAAAAAAGATATTTTATTTTTTATTTTTATTTACAATTAAAAATAAAAAAACATAATACGTTTTTTTAACTTAAAAATAAAATTAAGAAAATAATAAAAATGACTAAAATAATGACCGTTGGACAGAGGGACCAAAACCGTTGCTAAATAACAAACGTGAGATTTAAAAATTATTTATTTTTTGATTCTATGAATTGCTGTATATAAAAAATTAAAAGGAAGACGGCCATATTTCCTTGTTTTCTATATGGTTTTAGACTTCTTTCGGCATATAATTAAGCACATAATATACAGCTCGAAAGGTTGTATAAGGACGAATAAACGCGTACCAACACATTCCCAGTTGTCCGAGTGATTGATTTAATTTAAATATGATTCTAAAAAGTGTAAATATGATTAGTACTTTAAATAAACATGATAAGTTGGCAGGGTTTGTTGGTTCCAAGTACATGTTGTTGCTTGTGTGGTACCTCAATTATTAACATGAACAAGTAATTTTAGTAATTTCACTTATTATTCTTTTAGAAATTACCATAAAAGGGCATTACGGTAAAAAGGTATTACGATATATCTACGTCAGTGACGGTACTAATTTTAAATGTATTCACATGTGATTATTTCAAAACTCTTAATCTGTATGGTATAAAAAATATGACTGTTTTCGTAAGAAATAAATTGAAGCTTACTTAAAAAAATGTATATCTATACTATATTATAAAACATTTGATAAAAACTCTTAAAAATAATTTTTTATGCATGTAATAATGTTTATTAATGCATATTACTTAGAATTCAAGATTACAAATAAACTGTGCGTAAGTACAACTTATTAAAGCTTCATGTTTGAATTTGTGCAACTAATTGCAGATAAACATAATCAAATAGAAGATAAATATCTCATTTTAGATATAAAAAATCTAAAATATAATTAAGATAATTATTGAGTTCTAACAAAATACTTAATTATTAGCTTTATAAAAAATTATATTACTAAACCAAAAAAATGAATTAAAGAATTACACAAAAAAGAGAAATTTTAAATAGTCAGTTTGGTACCAATTTCAATATTTCTTTTTCAAAATTTTATGATATATCTTCATATTTATATTTTATTCAAAATAAAAACATTATCGTTTTCTCAAAATTACATAAAATCGTATCATAACATCGATCGAGACAAAGAGAAAGTAAAACGAAACATTAAAATCGAGATGTATCTCGCTGCATTGTGTGAGTATCATCTGGTGCATATAAATGACATGTTAAAATTATACTTAAATACGATACAAGAATGCCGATTGTCGTTTACGAATTTTATCAAAATTTATTTTCTTTAAAATTGTATTTTAGAAATTTATTAAATTTTTATACAAAATCAAACATGATTTATTTTAAAAAAACAAAAACCAAATAATTGATAAATTACTTTTATATTAATAATTTGCCACCTTTTTTAAATAGTACTCTTTTGCCAACTATATACTTTTAATCAAAATGAAATTAATTGATATCTTTTTAGAAATAATTATATAATAAAAAAATAATTTAATTATTTTTATAATTTTTTTATAAGGAATATAATTTTATTACATTTCAAATCCAACAAACTAAACACACCAAAGATTTCCAAGACTTCCAAGAAATCCAAATCGCTAAAAAACATTCGGTAAAGGCCTAAGGCCCTTTTGGTTACAAGTAATTTTGCTTAAATACAACTTATTAAAACTTCATTTTTAAATTCGTGTAACTAACTGCAGCTAAATATAATCAAATAAAGGATAAACATCTATTTTAAATATAGAAAATCTAAAATATAATAAAAATAATCATTAAGTTCTAACAGAATATTTAATTATTATATTTATAAAAAATTATATTATTAAAGCAAAATAAATTATTTTGTCGTTAAATCTAAATTAACTTATAATAAAAGTTGAAAGAAAGAAGTTACAAAAAAAAACAAGAACTACTAAATAGTTAATTTGATACTAATATCAAAAAAAATTTTCAAATTTTTATGATATCTTCAAATTTGTATTTTATTTAAAAATAAAAACATAATCGCTTTCTCAAAATCACAAAAAATCATATTATATCGATAGAGACATATAATAAAAACTAAACATTAAAATGAAGATTTATCTCGCTGCATTGTTCGAGTACCCTTCTAGTCAATTAATAAAAGATAATTTAATTATTAATAATTTATTTTTATATATTATTTATAAAAAATTAAAATCAGTTTTATTCCAAATCTTGTAAACCAAACACAATAAAAAGAATCAAAATCCTTTCAATTCCAAATCATTCCACGAAATCAAAATCTCTTAAAAGACATTTTATCAAACCAAACGCATCCTTTACATCTGTAATAAAACCCCCAGATTACACATTCCTCGATATCGGGTTTTTCAGATTTATTGGGTTACACGGATTTCGAAGATTATTTCCCAACAAAACATGTTAATTATGGATAAATGATGTATGACTTGTCCCATTGATGGGTTTATTCCAACTACTGCCCACATAAAAATTGACCAAAAAAACAAATATAAATGCCCATAAAAACACACACACACATACACACACAAAGGGATATGGAGGAGGAGAAGAAAGAGACTCCATTGAAGGCACCACCACACTTTGTGCTCATCCATGGCATAAGTGGAGGAAGCTGGTGTTGGTACAAGATGAAAAGCTTGATGTACAACTCCGGATACATGGTGACTTGCATCGACCTCAAAGGTGCAGGCATCGACCCTTCTGATCCCAACACGATTCTCTCTTTTGATCATTACAACAAACCTCTCCTTGATTTCTTCTCTTCCTTACCCTTGCTTCATCATCATAAGGTACAATTCTTTAATTACGCTTCCTACACACACATACACACACATATACATATATATATATATATATATATATTATAAGTAACCCATAAATCGTTACTACAGGTGATATTGGTAGGACACAGTGCCGGGGGACTAAGCATAACACAAGCAACTCACAAGTTTCCGAATAAGATAAGCGTTGCAGTTTATGTTGCAGCGACCATGCTTAAAAACGGGTTTTTAACTGAACAAGACGTTAAAGATGTAAGTTTAACCGTTTCATAGTTACTTATTTTTAACAATTGAATCTTGATTAATTAATGTGATAAATCAAAGTATTTTGTAGAGTAGAGTTATTAAAATTATTTATTATTTATAATATTTATTAAAAAAAAAAGAAAAGAAAAGAAAATTGTGGATGCATTATATGATAGTGGGGTTGTGTGACGTGTAAATAAAGAGTGGGGAAATGGAGGTGAATACTATGCTTATCGTTTTGGGCCGACTCTTATTCATCAAATGTCTGTCTTTTTGTCACAAAGCTGCACACAAACGAGGAAAACATTTACTTTATTACATACCATAACGGTACTCGTGTAATGCAACAAGATAAATTTCGATTTTAATGTTTAGTTTTTATTTTTTGTTTCTATGATATAATACGATTTTATGTGGTTTGAGAAAACGGTAATATTTTTATTTCTGAATGAAATATAAATTTGAATATAATATAAAAATTTGAAAAAATAAAATAAATAGATATTAGTATCAAATTAACTATTTAATAGTTTTAGTTTTTTTTTATAACTTTTTTAATTCATTTTTTATTATCATTTAATTTAGATTTAATAACAAAGTAATTTATTTTTGGTAGAACATAATTATTATTTTAATTATATTTTAGATTTATTATATATTTGATTATGTCTATCTGTAGTTAGATATAAGGATTTAATAATTGAGCTTTAATAAGTTCTACTTATGCAAAATTACTTGTAATCTTAAATTTTAAGTAATATGCATCAATAAACATTATTTAATGCAAAAAAAAAAAAATGGTTTTTAAGAGTTTTTGTCAAATGTTTTATAATATAGTATAAATTTGTTAATTTTCTCTTATCGTTAATAATATATTTTCAATGTCAAATCTTTTTTAAAACATATTAGATACATTTCAACAGATTTTTAAAATATAAAATAAAAAATTAAAATCTTTAAAAATATTTACTTCTAATAACTTTTTTTTTATTTTTGAGTTTATAATTTAAATTATATTATTAAAATATTCAATATATTTTATAAAATATTATTTCTTTCTTTTATGCATTTAAGTTTATGGATTCTTATTAATAAAAAAATAAAAATTAATTTCTCTTTCATTGGTAATCAATTTTGGAGATTTGTACAAATTTAGAGAACGTAGTCTCTCTCCTACTTTTTTCATTTTGTAAAAAACTTTTTAAAATTTGTTGAAGCAAAAATCCTCAAATCTCCATTTTGAAGAATCTGATGAAAGATGCTCTGAGCTTTTGAATTGGACACTAAAAGAAATTTTATGATGTAATATTTGAGTATCTGTATAATGCAGCGAGATTCATTAAAATTTTATATAATAGAAAATAGAAATTGTGGTTAATTAAAGATAAAAATTATATTATTAGTAGAATTTGTTTGTTTCAAATTTTATTTTAATTGTAATATTTCAGATTTATAACTAAAAATGTAGTTTTTGTATAGAAATCTGATAATTGATTTTGCAGGTTATAGAAATTATATGTAGTGAGTAGCTATTTGATTGGTTTTCTGTTAAGTTCTGTATGGATATGTTCATATAGATTGAGAATGTTTTTGTTTGTAGAAGTTTTTTCATAGATGAAAGGAGTGTGTTTTTTTTAACTTAGAGGAATAGGTCTGAAAAATACTTAGCTGGTTTTCTACAGAAAATTTTCCCTAAAAACTTATTGAATAACTATCCAGATAAGTATATATAGCTAACTGAATAAGTGCGAATTTTATTCACAAACAAGCCTTAAATATAATGTAGATATGGAATAATTTTTAATAAATTAGAATGGTACTCGTGGAATGCATCGAGACACATTTCCATTCTAATGTTTCTTTTGTTTTTTTTATCCATGTCGATATAATTCTATTTTATGTGGTTTTGAGAAAAC